AGTTCGGGAAACAGCGCTCCAGATTTGGCCACACCAGATGTGGACACGGTGCTCCAGATGTGGACACAATACTCCAGAGGTGGACACAGTGCTCCAGATGTGGACACAGTGCTCCAGATGCAGACATAATACTCCAAAACTGGACACAATGCTCCAGATGTGGCCACAATAATCCAGATGTGGCCTCCCCAGGGCCGAGCAGAGGGTCCCCTCGTGCCGCAGCCGCCCGGATCCCGCACATTCCCAGCTCACGCATCCCTATTTTTTTTTTTTCCCACCCCGGCAGCTACTGCGACTACTACCGGCCGCGCTTCTTCCTGCTGGAGAACGTGCGGAATTTCGTGTCCTTCAAGCGCTCCATGGTGCTCAAGCTCACCCTGCGCTGCCTCGTGCGCATGGGCTACCAATGCACCTTCGGGGTGCTGCAGGTAGGGCCGAACCCCCGTCCTGTCCCCGCTCCGCCATCCCTCGGGATATTCCACGTCCTTCCTCGGGATATTCCGCGTCCTTCCTCGGGATATTAATTCCGTGTGTCCCCAAGGCCGGGCAGTACGGCGTGGCGCAGACGCGCCGCCGGGCCATCGTGCTGGCCGCGGCGCCCGGGGAGAAGCTCCCCATGTTCCCGGAGCCGCTGCACGTGTTCGCGCCGCGCGCCTGCCAGCTCAGCGTGGTCGTGGACGACAAGAAATTCGTCAGCAACATCACGCGGTGAGCGCCGCGAGGGCCGCCCGGCCTTCCTCCCCCCGCTCCCGCCCTCCTCATCCTCGCCATTCCCTTCCCTCCAGGACGTATTCCGGGCCTTTCCGGACCATCACGGTGCGGGACACCATGTCCGACCTGCCCGAGGTGCGGAACGGGGCGTCCGCCCTGGAGATCTCCTACAACGGGGAGCCGCAGTCGTGGTTCCAGCGGCAGATCCGGGGCTCCCAGTACCAGCCCATCCTCAGGGATCACATCTGCAAGGTGCGGGAAGCGGCGGCGCGGAGCGGGGATCCGTCCCGCACGGAGCGGGGATCCGTCCCACACGGAGCGGGGATCCGTCCCGCGTGGAGCGGGGATCCGTCCCGCACGGAGCAGGGATCCGTCCCACATGGAGCGGGGATCTGTCCCGCACGGAGCAGGGATCCGTCCCCTGCTTCCCGCGGCCGTTACCGCCCGGAGCGGGGAGCAGTCCCGACCGGGTGTCCCCAGGGAAGCCCTGCGACCCCAGCAGCTCCTGCACTGAAGGTCCCTGCTGCTCCCCTCCGCTTCCATGTGTCCCCTCGTCCCTCCTTGTGTCCCCTCGTCCCTCCATGTGTCCCCTTGGCTTCCATGTGTCCCCTCGTCCCTCCATGTGTCCCCTCGTCCCTCCCGGTGTCCCCAGGGAAGCCCTGCGACCCCAGCAGCTCCTGCACTGAAGGTCCCTGCTGCTCCCCTCCGCTTCCATGTGTCCCCTCGTCCCTCCTTGTGTCCCCTCGTCCCTCCATGTGTCCCCTTGGCTTCCATGTGTCCCCTCGTCCCTCCATGTGTCCCCTCGTCCCTCCCGGTGTCCCCAGGGAAGCCCTGCGACCCCAGCAGCTCCTGCACTGAAGGTCCCTGCTGCTCCCCTCCGCTTCCATGTGTCCCCTCGTCCCTCCTTGTGTCCCCTCGTCCCTCCATGTGTCCCCTTGGCTTCCATGTGTCCCCTCGTCCCTCCATGTGTCCCCTCGTCCCTCCCGGTGTCCCCAGGGAAGCCCTGCGACCCCAGCAGCTCCTGCACTGAAGGTCCCTGCTGCTCCCCTCCGCTTCCATGTGTCCCCTCGTCCCTCCTTGTGTCCCCTCGTCCCTCCATGTGTCCCCTTGGCTTCCATGTGTCCCCTCGTCCCTCCATGTGTCCCCTCGTCCCTCCCGGTGTCCCCAGGGAAGCCCTGCGACCCCAGCAGCTCCTGCACTGAAGGTCCCTGCTGCTCCCCTCCGCTTCCATGTGTCCCCTCGTCCCTCCTTGTGTCCCCTCGTCCCTCCATGTGTCCCCTTGGCTTCCATGTGTCCCCTCGTCCCTCCATGTGTCCCCTCGTCCCTCCCGGTGTCCCCAGGGAAGCCCTGCGACCCCAGCAGCTCCTGCACTGAAGGTCCCTGCTGCTCCCCTCCGCTTCCATGTGTCCCCTCGTCCCTCCTTGTGTCCCCTCGTCCCTCCATGTGTCCCCTTGGCTTCCATGTGTCCCCTCGTCCCTCCATGTGTCCCCTCGTCCCTCCCGGTGTCCCCAGGGAAGCCCTGCGACCCCAGCAGCTCCTGCACTGAAGGTCCCTGCTGCTCCCCTCCGCTTCCATGTGTCCCCTCGTCCCTCCTTGTGTCCCCTCGTCCCTCCATGTGTCCCCTTGGCTTCCATGTGTCCCCTCGTCCCTCCATGTGTCCCCTCGTCCCTCCCGGTGTCCCCAGGGAAGCCCTGCGACCCCAGCAGCTCCTGCACTGAAGGTCCCTGCTGCTCCCCTCCGCTTCCATGTGTCCCCTCGTCCCTCCTTGTGTCCCCTCGTCCCTCCATGTGTCCCCTTGGCTTCCATGTGTCCCCTCGTCCCTCCATGTGTCCCCTCGTCCCTCCCGGTGTCCCCAGGGAAGCCCTGCGACCCCAGCAGCTCCTGCACTGAAGGTCCCTGCTGCTCCCCTCCGCTTCCATGTGTCCCCTCGTCCCTCCTTGTGTCCCCTCGTCCCTCCATGTGTCCCCTTGGCTTCCATGTGTCCCCTCGTCCCTCCATGTGTCCCCTCGTCCCTCCCGGTGTCCCCAGGGAAGCCCTGCGACCCCAGCAGCTCCTGCACTGAAGGTCCCTGCTGCTCCCCTCCGCTTCCATGTGTCCCCTCGTCCCTCCTTGTGTCCCCTCGTCCCTCCATGTGTCCCCTTGGCTTCCATGTGTCCCCTCGTCCCTCCATGTGTCCCCTCGTCCCTCCCGGTGTCCCCAGGGAAGCCCTGCGACCCCAGCAGCTCCTGCACTGAAGGTCCCTGCTGCTCCCCTCCGCTTCCATGTGTCCCCTCGTCCCTCCTTGTGTCCCCTCGTCCCTCCATGTGTCCCCTTGGCTTCCATGTGTCCCCTCGTCCCTCCATGTGTCCCCTCGTCCCTCCCGGTGTCCCCAGGGAAGCCCTGCGACCCCAGCAGCTCCTGCACTGAAGGTCCCTGCTGCTCCCCTCCGCTTCCATGTGTCCCCTCGTCCCTCCTTGTGTCCCCTCGTCCCTCCATGTGTCCCCTTGGCTTCCATGTGTCCCCTCGTCCCTCCATGTGTCCCCTCGTCCCTCCCGGTGTCCCCAGGGAAGCCCTGCGCCCCCAGCAGCTCCTGCACTGAAGGTCCCTGCTGCTCCCCTCCGCTTCCATGTGTCCCCTCGTCCCTCCATGTGTCCCCTCGTCCCTCCCTGTGTCCCCTTGTCCCTCCCCGTGTCCCCTCGTCCCTCCATGTGTCCCCTTGTCCCTCCATGTGTCCCCTTGTCCCTCCCCACATCCCCTTGTCCCTCCATGTGTCCCCTTGTCCCTCCCCACATCCCCTTGTCCCTCCATGTGTCCCCTTGTCCCTCCCCACATCCCCTTGTCCCTCCATACATCCCGTTGTCCCTCCTCATGTCCCCAGAGAAG